TTACTGTCTCTCTCTCTCTCTCTCTCTCTCTCTCTCTCTCTGTGCATCTTTACATGGTTGTCTTTTGTCTTCATTTAGTTAAATGTTCAAGGGATCATGTTATTTCTTTTGTTCGGAGTTGCCACCAACCATAAATTCCAGTGGAGTTAGAAAGTTCAAAGAGAATTGTACTGGTGGCAGAAGAGGGAAAATTGCTAGTTGAGAAATTTAGGATGAGTCCCACATGTAGCAATTATTCCGTAGATTGAGAAGTCGGAAAGTTGACATGCATGAGATTAAAGAATTTAAGTTTGGTCTTTTGTCGGGGAAGCAATTCCATGAATTGCGATCATTTGGATACAAAGAAGGAGTAGTGGAAGGAGGGAGCTGTTGAGATGGAATGATGAGCCATTAGTGCTTTCTCGAGCAAATCATTGCCTTGTCTTTTCATTATTTCCAGTCGCATTTACTTGGGGTTGGAGAAGTTTGTTTGTCTTTGGCTGTCCGGTCATCAGGCGGTCATCGTGTGTTGGGTTAAAACGCCTCTTTCGTTGGTTGCGGGATAAAACTACTTGGTCTGATGCTGCTTTTGGCTTTCTGCAACTATAGAAACATGTGCTGCTGTTATATATCTTCCCGCATTTATTCCTTACTCCGTTTTGTTTGCATGTAATGTTAGAGTGAGTAGTGAATTGTGGGAGAAAGAAAAGGAAGAGACTCTTCATATTCCGTGGGTGGCTACTTTTTGATTCTGTTCTTCCCTTTCTCCGTCTCTTGTATACTATTCATAATTCCAGATCTTTCCTTTTCATGCTTCCATGTCGCTTTCTAATATTCTTAGGTATCCGAACTGTTACTGTACTTGATTCTCGCATGTGTAATTGTGTCTTATGTAGTGTTATTATTGTCGGAAATTGAAGTCTACAGTTTGCGATTGTGTCTTTTGCGTATTCCATTCCTCTCCTTCCCCCCCTAACTTTTGGCGTATCGCGTAACAAGTTCACATAGTGCTGTAATTTCGTGGATTCTATTATAGCAGATATCTCGTAACAGAGGTTCGTGCCGTAGCAATATATACACGATATTATTAGTATAAAAAGAAACAAAAAATGTGTGACGACGACGTTGCGGCTCTTGTAATTGACAACGGTTCTGGTATGTGCAAGGCTGGTTTCGCGGGTGACGATGCACCACGTGCTGTTTTCCCATCTATTGTTGGCCGCCCAAGACATCAGGGTGTCATGGTTGGAATGGGACAGAAGGTAGATGCTTATTTGGAATTTATCAAAGGGCCATTGATTTTCGCTGATTCACTTGGTTTAAATTGATCTATATACATTTCTTATGTCAGCTTGTAGTAGAATATAAGTCAAACGCATTATACTGCTTTGCAAAAAGGCTGGTAGCAGTTCTTCAGTTTGTTTCCTTGTTAAATTATGGGTGGTGAAATTGCAAGTACATGGGTATAAAAATCGTAATCAGTAGAGGTGTGCGTTTCTTACATATGTAAAGTAGCTATCTTGGCTTTGCAGGATTCGTATGTTGGTGATGAAGCTCAGTCGAAGCGCGGTATTCTCACATTGAAATATCCGATTGAACATGGTATCGTGACCAATTGGGATGATATGGAAAAGATTTGGCACCATACATTTTATAACGAGTTGCGAGTAGCACCAGAGGAGCATCCTGTTCTGTTGACGGAAGCTCCATTAAATCCAAAGGCAAACAGAGAAAAAATGACGCAAATCATGTTCGAAACCTTTAATACCCCAGCTATGTATGTTGCAATCCAGGCTGTCCTCTCCTTATATGCTTCTGGTCGTACAACTGGTATTGTGCTTGATACTGGTGATGGTGTTACGCATACCGTTCCAATTTATGAAGGTATCTTGTTAGCCGAATTTTAACATCATGCATTGCTAGCCATGTGCTTCAAGCAGTATTGGGATTTCAGCCCGGGAAATTATGTGGGCTGGTGAAGTTGCTGACCTGATCACGAAGCATCATTTCAGGCTACGCACTGCCGCACGCAATTCTGCGTCTGGATTTGGCTGGTCGGGATCTTACTGATTACCTCATGAAGATTCTTACTGAGCGCGGCTACTCGTTCACAACGACTGCGGAACGTGAGATTGTTCGGGATATCAAAGAAAAACTGTGCTATGTAGCTTTGGACTTCGAACAAGAAATGGCTACTGCAGCATCGTCATCATCGTTGGAGAAGAGCTATGAACTGCCCGATGGACAAGTCATTACTATCGGCAACGAACGATTCCGATGCCCCGAGGCTCTCTTCCAGCCTTCATTCCTCGGTATGTTTGTTTACTTTTGTCTTTCATCCAACTGCTAAAGATTTTAAGGCGTTGGCAACATATATTTTATTTAAACGACTTTGTTTTAAGGAATGGAGTCGACCGGTATTCATGAAACGACCTACAATAGCATCATGAAGTGTGACGTAGATATCCGAAAAGATCTGTATGCAAACACTGTCCTCTCAGGAGGTACTTCAATGTTTCCGGGTATTGCCGACCGTATGCAGAAGGAGATTACTGCACTTGCTCCAAGGTTATTTATGTTGAAGTGCTGCAAAAATACTAGGTTAAGTGGCAGTAGTTAACCGAATTATGCTTTTGTGTATAAAGTCCAGCGCTGATCTTGATTGTACTGTATCCTCTTCCTGGTTTTTGGATCTGTACAGCGGTATCTGGTTTGAATCGGACACAAGGGCGATTAAATTGTCAAGTTTTTTGTTATCTACAATCTCTTAATCGTATTGTTGGACGCTTTTGTATCTGTTGTTGCATTTTAATAGCGGAATATGTAATTCAGTTTCTTGTTTCAGCACGATGAAAATTAAGATCATCGCGCCACCGGAACGTAAATATTCGGTCTGGATTGGTGGTTCCATCCTGGCGTCACTATCCACTTTCCAACAAATGTGGATCTCGAAGCAGGAATACGATGAATCGGGACCGTCAATTGTTCATCGTAAATGTTTCTAGGCTGTTGCTATTGTTGCTTCCCTGCCATGTTTCAGCTCTTTAGCAGCAAGTGCAACAAAAATACTAATTGAACAGTCTTCTGTTTGTCCGTACATCCCTCTCAGTTATTAATGCACACGCCTGTACTGTACTAGTTTCTTTTCTTTCTACAATTAGAAGTCAGAGAAACCACATCAATTCTGGACGGAAACGATATCTCAGAAACTTGGATTTACTCGATTGTTTAAATTACATGAAAGTTTTCAATCATATTCCCATAAATCAGGATGTGTGGTTCATTTCTCTTTTCCCTTTTTTTCTTGGTTTTTCTCAAGAAAAATAACATTCCTGAACTTCGTGTTCACTTCTTTGCTGCGCTTTCCGAAATTTCCCTTTTTTTTTTTGGGAGGGGGGGCGTAACGGCGAGGTTACATCTATTGAAAAATGAAAATTTTGAAGTAATTTGAATTCATTTGGTAATTTAGTTTTCCATTTATCGTGAGGAAATGAAGATTGTTTGGTCTCCACTCAGCCCAAACGTTTTCCTTTTTGATCCGCATATCCTGATCTTCCACTCCCACTTCTTTTTCCTTTTCTCCAATCCTCATTCCCGAAAATGTTTGGTTTTTATTGTTTTTCAAGCTAAAAGTTGTTGGGCATATTCGCTCACTGGTGTTTTCATTTTATTCTGTTTTGTCGTTATTATCAATGAGACATATTTTCCCCTCTTTTTTGTTTTCTTGAAATCATGTGTAATAAAGCGTTTTGAGAGTTTTTTGCTCGGTAAAGTTTTATTTGTTCAACGGCAGGCTTTACGTGGTTTGGGGAATAACATTTTTCCGTATATGTTGATATGACTAGAGTGTATATGGTTATCTGTGCTCTCTCTCTACGGTGACAAGAATCGAGATTAGAGACTAGATGCATTGGTGTTTTGTGATGGTTTGGAAAAGTAAATATTCAGCAAGTAACTCGAGGCTAAAGCGTATTCAGCTTGTCTTGCACAGGTTGTGGACACTTTCGGCCCTGAGCTTTGGTGGTTTGGAGACCGGTGCGATTGAAACCACATAAGGTGGTGACACAGTGTGAAAATTTGGTTTCTGTTGGGTTGAAAAGGTATGCTGATTGTCATTCGGTAGTTTGTGCTAATTATGGAAGTTGAAAAATCAATCGGGTTTCGCTGTTTTACGGCGCTAATGTCTCCAACTAAGATTAGTTTACGTTAAGTAGTAGCTTTGGAGGATTTGCAGAAGATTCTGATTGGTTTTCACGAAGAAATCGAGTTTCTGTCGTGTCGCGGAGAATGTGTGCTATGCCAGCGGAATCTTCCATTCAAAAATACTGGAACAATCGAAAACGCGGAAATGATGATGGTCGGTGGGGTACCGCTGGTCGAAAATATACGACTTCATCAACTGGTGATTCATTACTCATCCTATCAAAAAATTATCTCATGGATTTTTATAGTCATTCCATAAACTTATTTCATGGATTTTATCCAGTGAGACAGAATAATACACGAGATGATAAACTAAATTTCAAAATAATTAAGGCATTATCACAAGTATTGGAACGAACTTTTTCATAGTATTATGAGGTTTTGTTAAGAAAATCAAATAGTGACGATAAGTTAATGTAAATGTTGAGAAATGTATCAAGTTATATGAAGCCAGTTAATACGATTATTAAATTTCTATTCCGAATCGATAATTAAAGATTAAAAATAAATAGAGACTAAAGAAAATTACCTATAAAGTTTGCCGATTTATTCAGAAATTTTGGCAAATTCTCGAAAAGATTGATTTTTTCATTCTAATTTATACTATATGTGAACAGCTGGTGAAGGGTCATCGTCCAAAAGGCTTTCCGTAAAGGTGAATCGTCAGTCACTCAATTATACGGATTTACTGATTTGTGGATATATGGTTAAGTTACCACCAAATATACAACCATATGCTACGCAGCGAACGATGATTGCGAAAATCCTTACTGCTTTAAAGAATAAACTTAATGCGCTAATTGAAAGTCCAACAGGAAGTGGTTGGTTTGTCAGCTAAAGTTTTAATTGTAAGAACTTTTCAGTTGTCAGGTTTATGTTATAATGTAGTAAACAGTAGTAAATGAGGGACTTCCATAGAGAATGGTGCATTAATTCTTGCATGAAATGAGTATAGTGGAAAATTTCTACTGGATTTTTTTCCGCTCATTTTTCTGTATTTTTCTATACTGGAAATTCTTCCCAACTGCATCAGGCATTACGTTTAAACTCTTTTAATCGAAAAGAAAACTTAAATGATTTAGGTAAAACACTTGGGCTTCTATCAGCAAGTTGTGCTTGGCTTGAAAGATACAAAAAGGAACGTACGCAATCGCGAAATGAATGCAAAGCATGTCGTAGTGGTGGTAGTGGTGGTGGCGGTGGACATACCGATAATCAAACTTTAGATCAAAGTACATTTTTTGATGAATTAAATGGTGCTGATTTGAGCGATAAAAGTGGTATGAATAATATATCAGCTGAATGTACATATGAAGCTCAATCATTTTCTACATGTAAGTCATTTTTTATCTGTTGTGAAATAATTTTAATGTAAGTTTGAAGTTAATGAAAGTCTTTTTAATGTATACTGAAGTTAATAAAGGTCAACTGTCTTCATTCGGAGTTGACCAACAATCACAACTTCATGTGGTTGACTAGGTAAAGGTACAGTTAGACAATTGTCCCAAAAGCCGTATGCAAATATTTTTTATGGTTCAAACCTCTAATAATATAGCTGTCAGAATGTTTTAGGGTAAGAATGTTGCTTCATTATACATTTTTTGTTGCAAGCGAAGTGATGTAATATATTTTTTTTCTTTCAGTAGAAGATGAATTTGAGAATGATTTTTGCGTTGTTACAAGCTTCTCATCCACAACAAATAAGGTGAGCTATCTGCTTGTAAATTACTCTGCCGAACCATCAATGGTTGTTACATTAATTTATTATTTGAAATACATTGAAAGTAGTTCCAATATGGAAAAAAAAGCAATGAATGTTTAGTATAACGTAAATTTATAGTTGGAAGGTGTTGCTTCATTGGATGATAGCAAGATTTCGAAGAAAGATGCGGAGGAAGGCCATACATGTTTACCGTAAGTTTCCCTTAAGGTTATTTCTTCTAATTAAGTTTTAAAATTTCTATCCATTGATTTTGTGTTGAACGATTAACCATTCCATTAACCCATGAACGACGAGCTAAACATGTGCCCTGAAATAGTTACTTCATGATGGCCTTTTTCTTTTAGACGTGTGACAATATATTATGGAACGCGAACACATAAACAAATTAGCCAGGTGGTAAAGGAATTCTCACGTTTATCATATGGGCAAGAAGGAGTCATTAAGTAATGTATTACTATTGTCGCATAATATAGCTTGATTTGGTTTTACTTATCAACTTCAACTTTCTACTGACGCCTGTATTAGTTATTCGAGGTATCTTAATGGGCCTAACAAGAAAGTTTTTTTGCAATTCAGACTGGTACTTAACGGAGCAAAATATCTCTTTATCAGATGGTAATTGGCTCCATCAATGCATTATGGTTAGACACACCATATACATTATCTCTAGATAATCTGACTGGAGCTTTTTAATCTCACTACTTGGTTTCCCAAAACCTGACGATGGGAAGCAAATAAATAATAAAAGAAGAGGCAAGAATTCTTCCGAATTTTTGCCAAATAAGGAAATTTTCAGGACGAATTCTACATGCACTCATCCAATTTTAAAATGATCTGAATTCATCTTCCAAAGATTAAATTTGATGTAGAAGTTGAATCACTGATAATATTTTATTTTTTGAAGAAACACTTAACTCTTATTATTGCTAGAAATCAGTTCTGTTAGTAGGCCACTCTCTTATTATTTTATTGATTTTATCAACTGAAAATGATTTCCATTCTTAAAATATTTTTTCACAGACATACAATATTGGCAAGTCGAGAACATATGTGTATCAATCCAGCAATACGTGTTAGTGATGATATCAATGGTAA